AGATTGACCGCTGGCGGGTCAAGTGCGTACAGGAGGTGGAGGAGAAGAAGCGGGTGAGAGCAGCGAAGGACATGGCTGTAGGGGTGGTGGTGGTTGGAACCTGAGCGGTGTGAAGCTTTTAAGCTGCCATTTCTCAGGGCATAGCCTGTTTCCTTATTTGTAAAATGTTAGCCACCCTTTCCACCTGGTACCCCTATATTAATTGCGTGTTAATGATGTATGGCACACAAAACAAAGCTCTAGTGCACTGTAAAGGACTGTAAACCAAAATTATAAGGTTTATAAGTGACTTTACTGCCCTAAGTGACTTTAAGAATGCAAAATATAGAGAACTTGGGACCCTGCCTCAAGGAACATACCCTAATTGGCTAGTGGAGCAATAGTGTTTTTCCCAGGATTTGCTTGCTGGTTTTAAAACATCTATCAACCAGGTGCAATGGCACATACTTTTAATCCCTGCGACTTGGAGGCTGAGATAGGATGATCACAAGCTTAAGGCCAGCCTCAGCAATTTAGTGAAACCTTCAAAAAGTAAAAAGGATGGGGATGTAGCTCAGTGGCAAAGCAGCCCTGTGTTCAATCCCCAGTATCAATAAATAAAACGTCCCTAGGTTTACCAATCATGTTTTTGAGCACTTAACTATACATGTACTAGGTGCTACTCTAAAGTATTAAATAACTAGATCATGAGTTTTTATAACAACCCCAAGATATAGGAGCAATTTCACTAGTTTTACAGATTCGAAAATGAGGCATAGAGAGATTAACTTGCCAACAATCACAACCAGTTTGTGGCAGTTTAACTTCAGATTTATGCTCCAGTTGTCTGTTTCAAAGCCTGTCGTCTCAAGCTCTTCAGTAGGACCAGGGTGAAAATGTAAATTGGTCAGATGTTCTGCTAAGGCCTTCTCTTTTCCTTTGAATGCTGTTGGGATTCCATTACCCCTTCCCTCCACTTTCCCCAGTCAGTTCCTCCTCTTTATGGTCTGCTGCTACTCTGGAGTCTGATATAACTTTGCAGTGAAGTATATTAATGGCAAGCTGTATCATTACACTTCAGAATATCATTGCTTTAAAGGAGAATGTCTGGACAGGCAGCACTTTAACCCAAGGGAATTTGAGTCAGTTAAGCTGGAATTTAACGAGAGCCCATTAGGTGCCAGAATCAGTGCACAATACTAAGGACAGAGATGAGTAGTCCATAGCCCTTGTGCTTGAGAATCTTAGAGTCTCAGAAGGATCATGTCATTGTAGCATGGTGTGTGTTAGGGTTTCATCTATAGGTGCTATAAGGAGACAAGAGAAGGAATATTCAGTCCAAATGATATAATGACGTGTAAGCTGAGCCTTGAAAGAAATGTCAAAGTAAGTGAAGGCATCAGATACTGTTCCAGGCAGAGGGAATAATCTAAGCAGAAGGGTGAAACAGCATTATCTTCCCTGGGAATCTGAATCTTTAGGCCAATGAGTCTGCATTTTTAACAAGAGAGTGCCCCACTTAACAAAGTAAGTTGGGAGCAGATACTCCCTGGACCAAGCTTTGAGAAACAAAGAAACAAGGACCAAGTGTCAATGTTGAAGATGCAAAGAAGAGAGGTTCTCTTTTAAGAAAGTTATACAGTCAGTGGAGGAAGATAAGGCCTTCATTGGACCATTGTAGAGGGAAGTAGTTGTGCCAGGCCTATGAAACTGAGTATAGATTCAGTAGAGTCTTTCTTAACCCTGTGACTGTTTGATCCTTTGAAATCAGCAGCTATAAGCCCTGTTGTAAGGTTGTTTCTAATACAGAGTCTTGTGGTCTCTGTTTCTCCTCCAGGAGCAGGAACTCAAGGCTGCTGCTGATGGAGTCTTATCTGAAGTGAGGAAAAAACAAGCAGACACCAAAAGAATGGTGGACATTCTTAGAGCTTTGGAGAAATTGAGGAAACTGAGGAAAGAAGCAGCAGCAAGGAAAGGTAAACAAGGCTTTGTATTTGTATTTTCATTTCTTCCCTCTTTCTTTTCCTTCTTTATCTAGTGTCTCTTCACCCCAAATGTTTTAATGGAAAAAATATTTGATATTTTCACAGTGTTGGTAACTGGACTTGTCAGCAGTAGCTTAGAACTTTTGAAGCAAAAAGCCTCAGAAGATGTTTAGCCCCTGGTAGACAAAGTTGAAAAGAAATACAGTGTGGGAATCCGCTGTTCTTTCTTGCCTTCCACTCATCACTCCTGCCACGGGTATTTCAAGCCACAGTTTTCTGAGTGGGTTAACTTTAGCTGGTCAGCTTTGCCATGTGCCAAGGTAAAGGTTTCCCTCCTCTTGTTTGCTGCTTCAGAAAGTGTTGAAAACTTGTGTTTCAAACCTGAATTATTGCTATTTGAAGAGATCTTAGTGATTTAATAGGGCAGGGAGTGCTTTGACTATGGATGTCCCCAGCTTCCCTATGTGTTCCTTTTGAACTTAGAAGACTTAACTGGTCTCTTCTTGCCACTGAATGGAGTACTAGACACCATAGCCAGGCCTCCAAGCCTTTCCACAAAGATTTGTTCCAGCCACATTGGTTTTCTGGAAATTACCTAGTCTTGCTTTCCATTTGCCTATCTCAGTCTTTGCTCTTGCCATTCAGTTTGTCGGCCCTCAGTTCCATCTTTTCCATTTTAAGATTTCATTATCCTTCAGAATTGATTACAGATGCAACATCCTCCGTCCTTCCCTGATTGGGCTGAGATGACTTGCTTCCTCTCACTTGCACCTGGTTTTGACCACATACTGCCTTTTTTAGTAGGTAATAAGCCTTTGACATCCATCAGGGATATTTAAGAGTACACAGATCAGAAGGTACCACTGTACGAAATGATTTCCCCCGTGTGGTTTAAAATAGAAATGAAAACTGTGATTCTTTTAGACCCTTAGTAAAGTTTTGTTGGGATGTGACTATAGCTCATTCACTACTTAAGTGATTGGCTTCAGCATGTCAGCCATCAGAGCAGCTAATTTCCACTCAGCCCTCAGAATCAGATGACCCCATGGCAGGAAGGGGGTTGAGGACTGAACCCAGGGCACTTTACCCCTGAATTATATCCCCAGTCCTTTTTGTAGGGATTTAATTTTCAGACAGGGTCTCCCTAAGTTGCTGATGCTGGCCTCCAACTTGGAGTTCTCACATCTCAGCTTCTTGAGTCACTGGGATTATAGGTATACACACTTGTGCCCAGTTGATGCCACTCTAATTGAAAAGGAACATAGAGGATGAAGAATTGGATGGGGTAGATCCAGTTTAGTTGGGGACCAGTTGAGTTTGAGGAACTTAGATTCATCCTGGATAAGAGTTAATCAGCAAGTAGCCATAAGTAAGAATGGCCTTAAGAGGACTAAGGGCTCAAAAGATGAAATCCTAGAGAATGTCAAAATCCATGTGAGCAAAGAGCAGACCACAAAACAGACTAAGGGAGGTCAGAGAGAGATGAGGAAAAGGAAGTCTCCTAGAGGCAGACATAAATCCTTTACCTCCTAGAAAGTGACAGGTACTGAGAGTGGTTATAAAATCATGAGTACCTTACTTTAATTTCTCTGTGCCTTATTTTCCTCATCTGCTAAAGGGTAGTAATGGTAGTTCCTATCCATGAGTGAATATTGTGAGAATTAAATTAGTGTGTGTAAATTTCTTAAAGCAATTCTAGCACATAAAAACGCTATATAAATGTTTCATATTATTGTTTTTTTTATTTCTGAAGTAATATGAAGGCTAGAAAACATCATGGGAATTAATATGCAACAAGTCATTATGACCTATGCAGGGGCATTTCATAAAGTGGTGGTGGGGGTGAGAAACTGGACTAGAATAGGTTAGAAAGTAGATAGGAGATAAGAGATACAGTGAATTCAGCTTAGTAAAAGATTGCCTGTGGGACGGGGTTGTGGCTCAGTGGTAGACCACTTGCCTTGCATGCGTGAGGCCATGTGTTCAATCCTCAGCACCACATACAAATAAATAAATAAATAAAAATTAAAGATATTGTGTCCACCTACAGCTAAAAAAAAAAAAAAAAAGATTGCCTGTGAAGAAAAGGCAGAGAGCAAGATTAGTATCTGGCCATATGTCTAGTGGTAATGGTGATGGGTGTTATATGACTTAGAGTCATGAGAAAACTTGAGCATGTTTAAGTGCTGAGGGAAGGAGCGAGGAAGAAGCGCAAAAGAGAAGCAGGAGACAGGGGCTGGGGATGTGGCTCAAGCGGTAGAGCGCTCGCCTGGCATGCGTGTGGCTCGGGTTCGATCCTCAGCACCAGATACCAACAAAGATGTTGTGTCTGCCGAAAACTAAAAAATAAATATTAAAAAAAAATTTCTCTCTCTCTCTCTCTCAAAAAAAAAAAAGAGAAGCAGGAGACATAGTCAGTGATTCAGGTTTTCCCAGAAGGTAGGAAGATTTGGATACCAGGTGGAGATATTAACCTAAGTAAAAAGGACCCATCTCCCTCAGGCATGAAAATGAAGGATGAAAAGATGGGAACTAAGGTAGATGAGTGCAGTTGGGGGCAGAGAGTTGATAGATTTCTTGACTGCTGGTCTGTTTTTTCTTGGAAATAGAATAGCCAGCTTGGTGAGAATCAGTAGAGAAGTAGGGCTTTAAGAGAGTCATGGAAGTTTGAAATAATGCCATGAGGCCAGCAGGAGACCCATGGAAGGTGGTTAGATGGTTGCCAGAGAGATATTGTGGGTCTGGCTGATAAACCTATATATATTGAGGTCACCCACCTAGATGACTTCTTCCAGGAGTACTCTGCAGCTGACAAGTGTGCACAAGACAGAGCTTGGGGCTATTGAGGATTTTATTTTATAGAGTTACCATAAATGTGGAAGGAGGATGAAATCTGATATATCAGGTTTGGAGGTTTTGGGAAAAACTAACAGTATTTGGGGAGAAGGAACTAAAAATCTTGAGAGGATAGAAAGTTATAGACAGAAGAGAATAATCTACCTAGATGTCAGAGATGGAAAGTTTTTTTCTGATCATGCCAAGATCCAAAGAGTGAATGAGGTCCCAGAGTGTGTGACTAAAGGGGAATAGAGGTGAATACATCTGTGTTTTACAGATGCAGACTAAGGGTATGTGTGTTGGAGGAGAAAGAAATCTACATGATGCTAGTACATGGGGTTGAGAGGAAGACTGGATGAGAAGTGCCCTTTCCAAAGGAGTGTGTCAAGTGCACCAGGAGTGGTCAGTGAGATGTTAAGAGAGCTGTGTGGGTGGCCCAGACCCAACAGAAAGTATTAGCCTGGCAACTTAGTAGAAAATGAATTTGAACTGTAGAGTTTTCATAGTTGGGCATCAGTGAATGGAAATATGTTCAAGCAGAGAGGTATGAGAAAATGATCCAGAGAAATGTCAGCCTAGAAGGTAAAGATAGGAGAATGAGCTCCATAATCATTTAATAGGTGATTGAGGGAGAAAAATCATACCTCCAATTAAAACTTTACAAGAAATAGAATTACTAAGCTTGAGGAATCATTATTTTAGTTTTTTTGTCAGCTAGAATTGAAATTTTAGTGTTCAAAGCCAGTATTATGTTTCACAGGTGGCAGTATAAAATTGTTAAAACACTGTTAAATTATTCATTCATCAAATAAATATTCATTCATTACCTTTTCAGTATAAGTAAATGTATAGCTCTTTTAGGAAGCTGTTTAGTACATTTTGGTAATTTTTGAAAGTTTATTCATAAATATTTCCACTTTGAGAATTTCTTAGAAATAACATATAGGAATGAAAAAAATAACACACCCAAGAATGTTCATGGTAGAATTGTGTAACAATAGGATATTGGAAACAGCTAAAAGTTCAGTAGTAGAGAGCTTTTTAAGTGTATTATGATAACATTTATTTGTTGAAGTTGGATAGACACTAAATAACTAACTATAAATACTGGAAAAAAATGGGGAGAATCAATATTGAGATGCGAAAATTAAGTACATGTTATGTTGAACTAAATGAACTTGCTAATATATGGATGGAAAGATTAGAAGGAAATATAAGGAAATAAAAATGGTTGATGAAGGCAGTGGGGTTGGAATTTTTTTCTTCCTTGATTCTGGTTTTTCAAATGCTAGGTTAATAAATACATTTTCTTTAAAAGTGTTCAAGGTGGGGCTGGGGTTGTGGCTCAGTGGTAGAGTACTTGCCTAGCATGCACGAGACACTGGGTTCGATCCTCAGCACCACATAAATGTAATATAAAGATATTGTGTTCACCTAAAACTAAAAAATAAATATTAAAAGAAAAGTATTCAAGGTTTGACAGAATGAACTATAACCACATCAGTCCACAAGGAATCACTTAGCAGCTTCAGCAGCTTTTATATTGAAAGGCCAATAGAATAGTGAATGCATAACTGTAATCTATTCATGTATTCATTAAAATTTTAAATGTTTTCTTATAAAACTTGATGAAAAATTTCACACATGCACAAAAATAGAATACATAAGTATTAAAATATTTTGTAATTATAGATGAACACAATACCTTTATTTTATTTGTTTATTTTATGTGGTGCCAGGGATCGAACCCAATGCCATACGCATGCTAGGCAAACACTCTACCACTTAGCCACAACCCTGGCTCCTGTGATATCATTATTACACCAAAAAAGTGACCAATAATTCTTTGATATTGCCTAATAAGTAGTCTGTACGTAGATTTTCCCAGTTGTGGCTTTAGTTATGTTGATTGTACTGTTAGCTGATCTCCAAGGTTAATCAGAGTTAACAAATACCCCAGTTTTCCTGGGACATAAGGCTGAAGAAGGCAAACAGTTGGTCATCCCACTGTCAGCCACAGGCTTTGAGGTCAGTCAATGTGGTTGATTATGTATCTTTTACCTCAGGAGTATGCTCTTTCAGAATTCAGAATGGTAGAGAATTGTCTATGAGGTCTGAGAGCTGATGCTGAGGGAATTTCACAACGAATGAAAAAGTTACGACAGATGCCTCCCTTAAGTGAGCTTGCTGTCCAACTGGAAGATCAAAACCATTAGAGACAAAACCAAAGATTAAGTGGTGTGATCCAGAGGGAGGAGATACAGGAGGTTCTCCTGGTATGGGTCAGCCTTATTGGAGATTCGGAAAGATTAAATTGAGCCTTGAAGACCTAGTAGAATTTCCAAATTCTAAGCAAATTCATACTAAAGGTAAGACATTGAATCTGCTCATTTGAACATGGATTCTGGGATAAGAAAAAATGTTATCTAAAATACTATTTGGTTCTTCTTGCTCAGGGGTCTGTCCTCCAGCCTCAGCAGATGAGACTTTTGAGCACCATCTTCAGCGACTGAGAAAACTCATTAAAAAACGCTCTGAACTATATGAAGCTGAAGAGAGAGCCCTTAGAGTTATGTTGGAAGGAGAACAAGAGGAAGAGAGGAAAAGAGAATTGGAAAAGAAACAAAGAAAAGAAAAAGAGAAATTTTTACTTCAGAAACGTGAAATCGAGTCCAAGTTATTTGGGGATCCAGGTAAGTTCTCTTTACCCAGTAGAGAAAAGGAAAATAATAAATTGGCAGCTCTTTTTATCATGTGTGATTTTTCACTTAAGCTAGGAGGTGGTAGGCAACAAATGACGCCTTCTGATTTGCAAGTCGTGGATACAGATAAAACATGTTTGATTATATTGTCATAATCATAGGCTCAGTCACCCTGCTTCTCAAGTACCCTCAATAGCAAGCATAATGATGTGGTCTCCTGCCTTTTCTCTTTCAGATGAGTTCCCACTTGCTCACCTCCTGCAGCCTTTCCGACAGTATTACCTCCAAGCCGAGCACTCCCTGCCAGCACTCATCCAGATAAGGTCAGAGGGGCAGAGGGTCAGCCTTGTCTTTTTCTCTTTTCTCTTCCTCTTGTCTTTCCCTGGGTAGCAAGAAGCACTTAATGAAGTGCTTATGTTATTGAGGCCTGTTACTGTACTTTTTTTTTAAGTTTCTTGTAGGTTTATTATGTTGCCAAGTTTCATGGAGGCCACATACGTCTTGTTTAGTTCTCATTAGATCCATTTTAACAGGTAAAGAAACAAACAGTTGTGAGACTTGCCCTTTTGCATAGCTCTTCTGTGGATTTAAAACATTGGCTTCATTTTTTTTTAAGAGAGAGAATTTTTTAATATTTATTTCTTAGGTTTCAGTGGACACAACATCTTTATTTTTATGTGGTGCTGAGGATCGAACCCAGCGTCCTGCGCATGCCAGGCAAGTGCGCTACCGCTTGAGCCACATCCTCAGCCCCAAGAGTTTATTTTTGACTGATGTACAAGTTTCAGCTTTTAAACATAAGTACAATTTTTTATTATTCACAATAGCTGTGTTCCATCAGGTCACTATGAACACTGAATTACAGAGTACCAAACCATTTCGTCTAAAGGAAACACGAGACTAAGAGATTCCTGCGAGCCTCTGGTTTCATTTTCATCAACTGATTGTACCTTGTTTCGTGTGTCTTCTTTTTAAAGACACTTTGTTGAACACATATTGTCAATTCATTAACAAGGACTTTATGGCTAACAGCACTATAACCCATGCCCAAATGAAGCACAAGGCACAACAGTTCTCTGACATGTAGAGCACTAGCCAACACTTCACCATTACACTCCATTTTAAACAGAGAGACTATCAGTAAAAAGCACAAAAATATGGGGAGGGGGAAACATGGTAGGAAGTAGACCACAAAAAGGACACTTATATACAATGAAAGAACTATAAACAAGAAAGCAGAATGAGTGTTGCTCTTAGCTCTCAACAAGTATTTTAGTGACTCAGATTTTTTTGCTACCCTGCATCTATGAGTATCCATGAAAGTACCATAAGTGATGATTTGGGGGTTACAAATAAATTTTAGTGAGTAGGCAAATTTGTATATACAGAATCTGCTAATAATGAGGCTCAACTGTATGTTAATTATTTGGTTACCCATAAGGTTGTAAGTTCTTCAGAATTTTTTCCCTAAATGTATACATTTAAGAAATGTAACCTTTTGCATATGTCCTGGAAACCATGTTCTATAGTAGATTAATACATTAGTTTTTTGAAAGCTCAATTCTAGAAATAGAATTATTGAACATTTTGCTTGGAAAAGAAACCAGAAATAAACATTGTTCTATAATGTTCTTATTAAGGCATGATTGGGATCAGTACCTGGTGCCATCCGATCATCCTAAAGGCAACTCCGTTCCCCAAGGATGGGTCCTTCCCCCGCTCCCCAGCAACGACATCTGGGCAACCGCCATTAAGCTGCATTAGGAAAGATGCTCCAGGAGTGTGGTCCAGCCAACGCTCTTTCCAGCTCTAAATATTAGTGATATTGCCATCTTGTGCTGTAGACTAAACCATAACTGCTAAACTCCCTGTGTCAATGCCCTAGCCTAAAGTTATGCTTTCTTATATGCTCTGTCCTGGCCAGAGGTACCTCTTGAATCAGGAGATTAATATTGTTCTTCGGGAGGGGCTGGGGATATAGCTCAGTTGGTAGAGTGCCTGCCTCACATGCACAAAGCCCTAGTTCAATCCCCAGCACCACAAAAACAATATGGTTCTTCAGGAAAGGACCTAGGTGAATTGAGGTTATTACCATAGGTAGTGACCTTGGTTCACTAAATTTGCCTCTGTTTTGAGGGGCTTGGTCTAGAGTGACTAATTAATTTAGTCTAGCTTCCTTGTATGGTGATGGGTAAGTATACTCAATACACTTAAATACTCAGAACAAGTGTGTGCTGGGTGGATTTAGCAGCCTGTCACCAATAACTGAGCGTAAAGGCAAGCTTGATGCAAAAACCTTCTTACTTTCCTATCTAGAGAACACTAACTCCCTGGGGTAAAGGTCAAAAGCCTTCAGCTTTCTTAATCCTAGTTTTTGTGCAGCTTGGGAGATGGCAAGTTAGGAAGATGGCAGTGGCTACAGGCTAGGCTGCCAGAAAACATGATGGCCTAGTTTCAGTAGTCATGCAGAGAACTTAGAAAATCTGAAGAGTACCCATAATCAAATTGGATCATGTTTTAGTGGACAATGACTGTATTTTCCTCATGTTCTCCGTTCTAGTGAAACCACCTGGTTTTTGAAGTTCCTAGGAGTCTAGTTTTTTCAGAATCTCTCAGAATAGAAATTTCTCTGTGGGAGTGGGACCTTAATCTCACTCAGTCACATTGTAGGAGGCTGGTTTAGCTGTGGAATTTTCTTAGGAACTCAAGCTTCCCAAAACATCCATGTAGTCATAGTTGGGAGAAAAGGAAATAAGAATGACAAAATTTATTTTTTATATTCACTAATAAATGCTGTTGAGATGATCTGTCATATAACATGTCAACTTTTGTTTTGGTTTGTTTTGATTTTTGCCAATTTTGTTATTTAATTTCTGAAAAACTAAATAAACATCATTTTTATTTTTTAGTTTCAGCCTTTGCCCCCAATTTGTTGCCTCTTAAGTCATTTAACACATTTCACTTTCACATTGCTGAAACATTTTCATTCCAAAATTGAAATTTATTAAACAGGCATTTGCTACAGGAAAATGAATCTCAAACACCAAACTTTGACTGCAACATCCAACTCTTCTAAGCAAGGATGGACACCATCAACTTAGAAATGATTTATAGTTGGACACTCCTGGGTGCAAGATACTAATGCCTTTGTCTCTTTCTGTTGTTTGATTTGTATTGTTCAGTTTGCACTGCACATTATGTGTTTCAGAGTTCACAAGGAATGAGGGACCATACTTTTCCAAAGTGTGTCTAAGCTCATAAACCTTAAAATCCGAAGTGATTGACCTCAAGTAAACCCCACAGTCCTGTGGTGACTTTTCCTTTGAAACCTCCACCATTTACCCTGATGAACTGCAGTAGGAGCAGAAATAAAAGATGAATTGTACCATCTATGTTTGGTGCCTGAACAGTCTTGTCACTAAGATATCTGCATTGATGAAGGCGGAGAATGTGAGGTAGGGACTCAGGAGAATCAGGCAGCAAAACCCAAGCAGAGGGAGCGTTTATCCTCAGGTAGAGGAAAAAACATTCCTCTTACCTTTTATTTGACCTTTGCAAGGTTTTTATAAAGTGAACTTTATTTGGTTTTTGTTTTAAGTTTTTCCTGGTTTATTGCCTTTGTGCTATGGCATTTCTTTACGGGCTTAGAAAGAATCACAGCATCTTCAATGAACTGTACTTTCAAAACTACAAGTGGTGTCATTGTAAATATCTTACCCTACGGTCCAGTCTTTTTGTTAACTATGGAAAATTTCATATATATATATACACAGAAGTAAAGAGGTTAGTGTGACCTTTTCTCCCATGTACTTATCATTCAGCTTCAAATAATTATCAAGTCATACAGTCTTGTTTCATCTGTATCTCCACCACTCACCTGGATTATTTTGAAGCAGATCCCATCAAACTACTTCATCCATGAATACTTGAGTATGGAACCTTAGTTTAAAAAAATTTAACCACAGTACTATTATCACATTTAATGAGTTTTTTTTTTCTGAAGAGTTCCCAGTCTCCATCTCACCAATTACATCTTTGTGATATCATATCCTTCTGTTTCCATACTTCTTTAGTTTAGTGGTTCAACAGCTGTGCCATCCAATATGATAGTCACATATGCTAGTAAGCACTTGAAATGTAACTGGTTTGAATTAAGATAGGGATAATGTACGTGGCTCACATTCTTTCTACTAGGTAACACTGTTCTAGAAGCTTGGTGGCATTTGGATTGGAATTTTATGTCAAGACTACTTTACATACGTGGTATGTACTTCATTTAGCAGGTTCTACTGTCTGTCCCATTGGGATGTTAGCAGCCACTAATAATCAAGACCTAGATTCATTAATTCATTAGGGGTAGGAAAATAGTAGTAATTTAATTCTGTCATTCTTCAGTTATTAACTGGAATACTAAAAAGAGAAACTTCCCCTCATCAACTATTTGGTTATCCTTGAGTATAATTTGTTTAGGAAAGCAAGAGATAAATACTTAATTCTTTTTATTTACAGATTCATAAAATAATGAATTGGTTTTTAACATCCCGCCAAAGGTAGCCAGTGATTTTTGTTTTGCACATTTGTTGTTGTTGTTGTTGTGGGGTGGGGGGTGCTGGGATTAAACCTGGGATCTTGCATATGCCAGGCAAATGTTCTGCAACTGAGCTGCACCCACTGCCCAAGTTTTGTTTTTAAGTATCTTTATGAATTTGGACCTAAACATTTTTCTTTAAAAACCATCAAACCATTGTTGTTATCTTTATTGCTTGCTCCATCTTTTGGACAGTAGGAGTCTCTTCAACTCCTACTGAGTTCTCATACATTCCAGTATTCTGTTTTAAATTTATCTTGTACCATCTGCCACCTCAGACCTGGAGTCAGTGATTTTTTTTCAGTGAGTTCTGGTTCTTCTTTAGAAGAAAAAGTATTTATCGATCATAACCTTCATGTTAGGGGTGCTTATTGTTATTGCTTCCCATTTAGAGTCATTTCTTATTCTTTTTAGTCAACAGAATTTGGAACTACATTGCTGTTGAGCCTTCAGTCCTTTTTGAAATCATGTCATTTTTATACTTTTACCTGAATTCTCTATAGATTGAACATGAATGGATAAAAATAGAGAAACCATTCAATGACTAATCAGAAAGTCAACCAATTACTTGTTGATTCATCATATCATATATGCAAGCATACTTTTCTCTTTTCTCTTTTGCATGGTTCTGGAGTTGAACCTAGGGCCTCTTTCTCACAAGCTAGGCAAGTGTTCTATAACTGAGCTACGTCCCCAGCCCTGCAAACATACTTTTATTTCCTAGAAGTGTCATCCCTGGACTTGTGAAGAACTCTGACAAAAGCATTTACTTTTAAGAAATGATATAAACATAGGGAAGAAAGCTATGAGAGAAAGAAAATACATTAAATACTAAGAGTATTCCGCCCAAGTGGCTGAGTTTATGTCGTCGAAGAATTTTCTGCTTTAAGCCAACCAATTAATCACTCTAAAACCATGCTTCTGTATCCATGTGACTTTTGTAAAAGAAGCTTAGCTAAGATTATGCCATCTGTTGTAGCAGTTCACTTCTACATGTTTTGTCCACAAAGAAGCTCTCCTGGGAATTCCAAGGTAAGTCCAAACTATATCTTGTTCCATTGAAATAAGAGTAATATTCAGTAGATTAAAGGAATGTGAATGCTGTGAAGTATTAGTAGTGATTTATTTTAGGGAACAAATTAAATGACACATTTCCAACTAACTTTTTTAAATGTTTTGAGTCAATAAATTACCATATAAGGAGCTTGTTACTTTGTGTGTATTGGTACTGTAGTTCCTAACTTGCCACATCTGGTCACCTTTGAAGAATTTGTTTTGCCTTTTGGAATAAACTGATTTCTCAACAGTCTCTGAAACTAAGATCACGGTCTTTGAAGCAAAGTGGTGTTAGAATGTATAACATTGTTCATTTGTCAGAATCAGGGTACCAGAATTTGTGTTCTTGGAATATGATTTTTTTAATTTCCCATTTTCTGGGTACTGTATTGGATGCTTCAAACATTAAAAAGGAGCAGACATATAGGATTCATGCCTTCCTGGAATCTGAATGTAAAGTATAGAATGTAAAGTTTTAATAATTGTACAGATATTTAGAGTCATTAGTTACAATTATGATTATGCTACAAGGAATAGTACTTAGTAATTGATTTATAGTTTTCATTATCCAAATATTTATTACAAAGTACCCATAGAGGCTAAGCAAAATACCAAATGCTCCCTAACTTCATAGAAAATACAGGTTGTGAGAAAGATATTAATCTAATAATAAAAAAAATGCACTGAGTACTTTGAAGAAAAGGTATGGTTCTAGGAGAATATGAAGTAGAAATTTTTTTCATACATGGTTCTATAATATAGTTAGGAGAAATAACAGAAAAAACTATCATCTAGTAGGGATAAGAATTGTTCCATCTACATATGTATATGCTAGGTCACAAAATATGTACTGTGTCACAGTAAAATATATATATATATTTTTTTAAATTTATATGTATGGATATATATGCATATATATATATTTATTTATATATGGATAGTGCCACTATATTAGACTTTAAACATTTTATAAAAGCTTTCTTATAAAAGTGATGTTTCAGCTGAACTCTGAAAAATGAACAGCTTTTAATTAGTTACAGAGAAGAGACAGAAGAACACGGCAAGTATTTGGAATAGAATATGCAAAGGTCCTGTGGTGAGTCAAGACACAATTGGAAATTGAAGGCTATGATGGCTGCAGTAAGATGGAAAAAGAGGGATCAGGGGCTAGAAGTTGCAAGGCTTCTGAAGGAGTTTTTATTCTGAAAGCACCTGGAAACTATTGAAAGCTTTCAAGCAAGTTAGTGGCTTAGTTTTGTGTTTTGAAATGATCCTTCTTGCTTCAGCATGTGGAACAAAACCGTAGTAATACAGCAAGAGAGGAAACATGGGGAACAGTTGTCTAAGTGAAAGAACAGGGGCTGGGGTTCCCATGGTAGCAGTGCAGGAAGCATGAAATGGCTACACTCCAGATTTAAAAGAACTTGTCAAAGGATTTGGCATGGGTAAGAAAAGAGAGGAACATCAGGAATAGATCCTCATTGCCTGGATCAAAGCTGCCATACCTTGAGAGGAACCCTGGAGGCAGGGGATGATCACTTTGGGGGAGGGGAAAGTCAATAGTTCACTTTGCATATGTTGAGTTTGAGGGACTCTTGAGACATCTTGGGAGAGATGTCTTGGAGCTGGTTGTGTTTATGAGTTTGATCTCAGAAGAGACCTGGAGATTTTGTGAATCATTCATTGGTAATTAAAGCTATGAGCAAGTGAAGTCACTTAAAAGAGTATAGTAGAGAACTTTAAAACTGCTCAGACAACTGCTTTAGACAACTGCTTTAGACAACTCACCGCAGTCTCCACCCAGGCCCATGCTCAGCTATGCCAAATGGGCACTGGCACATGGAGTGGGATTTGAGAAATCCTGGATTGTATAGTTTGTTGAAGCATGCACAGCCTGGCTTTCCTAATGTCTCCACTCCCATTCCCCAACCCCCAGGCCTCTTCAGGGCTTTCTCTGTCAACTACTGAATGGAGCCGGAACTCAACCTAAAGTTCAAAGTCCTCCCCAGGCCGACCCCAATCTATCCCTTCAATCTTGGTGCAGACTGCTTCCAGCACAAACTATCTACTTGAATCAAACAACTTGTCACCCACTACCTCTGCCCTGCAGCTTCCTGCCTCTGCTCCCTGGCTCAAGCTGTTCCCTGGAATCTCACTCTCCATCTCTTTCCTGCTCACAGGCTGTTCTCCAACCTTCTGGGGTCCAGATCAAAGCCAGTTGCTTTCCTAAAGCTTCCCAAGCCCCATAAGGACTAGAACACTCCCCTTCCAGAGGCACTCCCTTGTGCGGGGTCCTGGTAAGCCCTGAAATTGTTACTTAACCATCTATATCTCTTATTTTGTATTTAGCAAGGTGACCCTCATTTTAGATTATGTTCTAACAAGGTCATATCTCAGCTCTTGCCATTCTTAAGAGAGATATTCTCAGAATCCTTTAACTCTTAAGTTACCCTGGAAGCAAGTGTATAATAGATTAGAGAAGACCTATTAGGATGCAGATGCTGGGTCAAAGATGGGAAAGAAGGCTGCCCTCTACCTGCTAAGTGGACAGTACATTCCCTCTGAGCCTCAATGGTCTTCCTATAGTTCAGAATTCAAGTGATAACTGAAAATGTGAATGATAAATCTGAGAATGCCAAAACTTGCTGAATTTTCCATGACTCCTTTTACACTGTTGTACCTCAGAAGTGCCCTGTGAGAACTAGCTGACAGGGCAGATGGGTTACTGGTTACCCGAGGACCTGCCTGGTCCTGTACGATGGAGGCAGCATGAGGAGCGGCCTCTGCTGTGCCGGGGCTCTGGCTCAAAGCATGGAGTGAATGAGTCATATAGAGGAAGACACTGGCAAGAATGAACAGATGGGGGAGGAGATGAGGGGATTAAAGGATTTGCCCACCTGCCCTCAATTGACCTGTCTGCACTCAGATTACCCACCCACCCTACCTCTCTACATGGTGCTCAGCTGTAGGGAACAGCATGACCGCACAGTGACCCTAAGCAGCAGGGTTTTGCATCATCCTGGCAGGGATGACAGATGTGTTGAGCCAAAGGCACTCTCTGGTGCAGGTTCCCTAATAATCCCTGATTGTTTGCAAAATGCCAGAGTGTCTTTAGGAGTCTAGATTTATATTATAGGTAGTTGTGAGTTTAAATTCTGTGTGAATTAGGTTTTTTTTATTGCAAGGCAGCAGACTCAATATTTAATCCCTGGCTCTTGTATTGTTAAACTAAGTACAGATACTACACTTAGACAAAAGACCTAGAAATGATATGTGAATGAGCTTTTAATTCTGGATAAGTTGTTTAACCTCATAAATTGTCAGTTATGTGCAAAGTAAACAATGAGATACCACTACACACACACAAGAATGAATGGTTAAATTAAAAAGCCTGACAATTTCAGGTGTCACTGAGAATGTGATCATCTGTAACTCTCATGCACTGTTGCTATGAAAGTCAAGTAGAATTGGTCCGTTTCTAATGAAATGTTTTAAAGATGCTATTTAAGTTGAGCACAGTGGTGCATACCTGTAACCCCAGTGACTCTGGAGGCTGACCAAGGAACATCACAAGTTGGAGGCCAGCCTGGGTAATTTAGCAAGACTATCTTAAAATAAAAATTTTAAAAAGGGCTGTGGAGTTGTAGCTCAGTGGTAGAGCACCCCTGGTTTCAATCCCTAGTAACACACACACACACACACACACACACACACACACACACACATATTTAGTTTTGGGGATTGAACCCAGGGCTTTGTGCATGCAAAGCAAGCACTCTACCAACTTAGCTATATCCCTAGCCTCAGAGATATATTTGAAACATTGACCTCATACCCAATGACCTTGATGAATTATGTTGCTAATTCTAAGAGTTTTATTCACAGATTATTTTTTATTTTCTCATATAATTATGTCATCCATAAATAATGGTTGCTTGCTTTCTTTCCAATTGTTACACTCCCACAAAATAGTGCTAGTAGTGCAATATTAAATAGATTTGATGGGGACTCTCTTGTATCATTTCCAGTATTGGGGATGTCCTTTTGAATCTCATCAGTAAGTAGGATGTTTGCTATAGATGTTTTAGAGATATTCTTTATTAGATTAAGGAAATGACAGTCTTCCTAAATTTATAAGGGTTAGTTGCTTAAAATCACAAATGGGTATTAATTTTATGAAGTATTTTTTCTGGATCCATGGAGATATAAAATTATATTACTTTGATCTTTATTAATATTTATCTGTATTCCTATTGATTAATTTTGGAATGTTAAACCAATCTGTCATTTCAGGAATAAATTCAGCTTGACATTGTTGTATGATTCTTTCCATAATTATTTTTGTTAAGATGTTTGCATCTTGGTTCATGAGAGAGTGCCATATAATTTTCTTGTCAAGTTTGGCATAAAGATTATATTCAATTATAATGAATTAGGAAGTATTCTTTATTTTCTTCTTCTTGCAAGAGTTTGTGTAATTTGGTGTAATTTCTTCCTTAAACTTTGGAATGGCAACTCTATTGATGAAATGCTTTAGAGCTGGTCTTATAGACAATGATATAAAGCATGACTTAGACATGAAATAGTCAATTCCTGGCATGTGAAAATGTTCTTGTTTTTATTTATATCCTCCCATAAGCAGCTCTGGCCAGTTCACCTGTTCTTTTCCAGTTGTGTGTTGCCCAGCTAAGCAACTGTGCAGGAGATTGGTGGTCTAAGCCTGGTCCCCAGGACTCTACATTCTTTCTTTCTGACCCCAGGCAGCCTGCCGAACACTGCTGAGCCATCTCCACACTCCTGACAGAATGAGTGCCCTCGATGGTGTCCCCTTCAAGGTACCCAAGGGTTTTGTGATCAGCACAGAGCCTCTCCCTGCACCAGAGTTCAGTATCCCTGCCTGCAGGGAGCTTCTGCTGGGTTCTGTGGTAAGTGTGCCTGTCTCTCTAGCTTCTTGTCCCTGGGTCTGAGGCCTGAGAAAGGGCAGCTTGACCTGCTTTTGAATAGTCTGGGAAGCTTGAAATTAATCTAATAGAGGGGGGCGGAAAGTTTCATAAAGAAAGTTGGTGGCTAGGTGATGAGGGTTGTTCAGTGGGTCTTGTTTTAAGCTGAGGATACAGAGAGGCTACTTATGTGAAATGAGGGGCAGTTACTGCAATGGTGCTCCAGTTCCCCTTCTCTACCAACTTGCGGCCATGTCTAAAATTCCACCATTAAAATCACTCTTTTGGGTAAAGACTTATTCTCTGTTATCCTCTTAAAATGCAGACAGTTACCTGGGGCATGTTAGAAGGAATTAGAAGGGAGTGCTATTCCATAGACCCACACCTGGAGGTGGCCTAGAAGGACCTCATGCCCCTGGTTCACATCCCTAGATTACACCTTGCTAAGTGCACATTCTCAGGGTATATGGTGGTATCAAAGAGCTGTGAAGCTAGCCTGGATCCCCTGGGGCCTGGGCTCACAGACTTGGTGCTCACTCTCTACTATCTGCAGGAGTGTTTATAGAAAAGTTTGAAGGTCTGGTTTGGCTCTCACTCATTTTACACATGAGAAACCTGAAATTTAGAGAAGGGGGATATTTATTCATAGTTATTAGTAGTGATAATATGAAAATCCAGGTCCTGACTCCAGGTAATTTCATATTAGCTAAGAGTAGAACTTGGAATGAGATATAAGATACCAGTTGGGGAAGGCAAAAACTGGGGCAAAGTGTTGTTGCAGGGAATTCAGGAGCATAGAGCGCAGTCCTGGGGAAAATCAGGTAAAGAGGTTGAGTGACCTCGAGGCACAGGAGAAGACCCAGTGTGAACTTGCTTCCTCTGTAGACCCAGGAATCACAGGCTCATCAGAATCAAGGTTTACAGCTGGAAGTGGTGCCACATGCCTATTATCCCAACAGCTTAGGAGGCTGAGGCAGGAGAATTGCAAGTTCAAAACCAGCCTCAGCAACTTAGCAAGACTGTCTCAAAATAAAAAATAAAAAGAGCTGGGGTGTGGCTCAGTGGTTATAAAGCCCAGAGCACAGTGTCTATGGGATGCATGCTGCTCTGTGTAGCAGGTGCTCTGGCTCTTCCCTAGCAGCCAGTGCTGTCTGTCTTCTCTTTGTGTTGTTGAGAACAGGAATTTACTTTACCAACCTTGCAATGGAGGTAGATTATCACAATTTTTCCCTCCTGCTCAGCTCTAACCACACTGAGAAGAAGTTGTTCTGAAGCTTCCCTCTCTGGAAGCCCTTTCCCTTCTGTATGTGTGTGGTATATAGTGGTTATAGTAGTAGTCATTTAGAATTATCTTTCCTTTTATGGTTTTGACCACCTGAAATTATAAAGGATTTCTCTTCTGTTTCTCCTAGTACTTTCTCGTGTCATATCATATATTTGAATCCTTTTTGGAATTCATCTTTAGAGTGAGAATGAATCCAACTTTATTTTTTCCAGCTAGCTAACACAATTTATTGACTATCTCTCCTTTTCCTACTGCCACCTTTTTACTTTTTATTTATTTATTTATTTATTTATTATTGGTTGTTCAAAACATTACAAAGCTCTTGACATATCATGTTTCATACACCTTTATTACTTTTTAAAGCACCATATATATTATGATTTATGTCTGGATTTTCTATTATGTACCTTCAATCTGTTTGGGATAGTGCCATAGTTTAATTATCAAGAACTGGTAAAGCCAGGTTTTAGTTCTCTTTATTTATATTTTTGTTACCAGAGTTTTTATAGCTATTTTTATTTGTTTGTCTTTCATATCAAATTTAGAATCATAGTGTGGCATTTCAGAATAAAAAAATGTTGGTATTTTATTGGGTCTTTTATCCCTCTAAGTCCCCCTGACTGTCTCTTTATCTCTTAGTCTTTTTTTCTCCAAGTATGCCTCAGTTATGAAATTGCCTTTTTCCTTTCTCTGTCTTTTATAACCTACCTGTTTTTGCTCAAATCTCTTTTTTCTAACCATTTATTCTGCCTATAAATATCCACTCTGTGCCTGGCCTGCCCTGGGGCCTTAAAGATTCAGAGAAAGGAATAAAACCTGGTCCCTGACCTCAATCAGGGAGTCACATTGGAGCTGCTGAGTCAGACTTCTCTCCTCAAGGCAGGGTCATGTCAGTGAGAGAGGCAGTGCCTGTGTTCTGTCCAATATCTGTGTCTTTCTGCCTATCTGCCCCTTCCTCCCTCAAACACTACTTCCTCTAGCCTATCTCTTCCTCAATTGGCCATGGGAGAGCACTAAAATTGCCCCTTTAAAATTATTTAGCCATTTTTTTCAGTGCTAGTGATCAAACCCAAGGCCTTGGGCAAGCTAGGTAAGTGCTCTACTACTGAGCTATACGTGCAGGCATACAATTTTTAATGGAGTTTTATGTTTTCTATTCTTAACTTTAAAGGTAAGAAACAGGGCTAGGGCTGTAGCTCAGTGGCAGAGTGTCTGCCTAGCACCTGTGAAGCACTGGGTTTAATCCTTAGCATGCCTTTATTTATTTATTTTTATGTGGTGCTATCAGTCTACAACTTCAGAAAAGAAAGGTAAGAAATAGGAATACTCTCATTTTTAAATTTAGTTATAAATTGAATCAAATTTAGAATAATTATATAGATTCCAGATTGCTTTCGTAGGTGGCCTAATAGTCAGTGGGGTGAGCACTACAGTCAGGTAGACAGAAACACAAGTTCAACACCCATCTATCTGTCCACATCTATCATCTATCTGTCCATAGCAAATAAAAAAATTTAAGTCTTGCTGTGTGTACTGGCACATGCCTGTAATCCCAGTGACTTGGGAACCTGAGATAGGAGGATCCAAAGTTCAAAGCCAGCCTCTCAGCAATTTAGCAAGGTCCTAAGAAATTTAGGGAGACCCTGTCTCAATATAAAAAGTAAATAGGGTTGAGAATATAGTTCAGGGTTAAAGCACACCTGCATTCAATCCCCAGTACAAAAAAAAATTATGAGCCTCATTTTCATAATCTGGAACAAGGAATGACACCTGACCTACTAGTTAAATTCAACAAAGGTTAGATTATATATTTCCTGGACCCCAGAGTATCCCTGGATGAGAGCAAAGTGGATAAAGGGCAGATATTAACTGCTCCATAGGGAGGTTTGTCTGATGAATGGGCCTCCAAGGCTGACTATTCAGTGGCAAACTGCTGGGCTCTGGTGAATACTTCTTTGTGAACAACAAGTTTTATTGTTTTTTTTTTTTTTTTTCTGAACTAGAGATTGAACCCAAGAGTGTTCTACCACTGAGCTATATCCCCAGCCTTTTTTATTTTTCTTTTGAGATGGGGTCTTGCTACATTGTTAAACCTGACCTCAAACTTTGGAACCCCTTGCTTTAGTCTCCCAAGTAGCTAGGATTACAAGCATCCCAGTTATTTGAGAGATTTTTAACATAGTTAGCAATGACATACTGAATGGCAAAGGGTTTTAGATATTGCATTTCATTCTATTCAATCATTTCTCATTCTGCTCTTCATGCCAGAGCTTGCCAATAAACTGTTACCGGTATCCATTTGCCCCAGTGTTAGCTAAAACTATTGGTGGGAGTGGGCTGTGTAGGATGCCCAGGACTCCAAATCAGAAGCTGTCCAGACCTGGTAAGTCTTTGGCTCATCAGGGTCCCCAGGCCAGCCATTAGGGCGCCTCCCAAGGTCCTTGTTTGCCCCATCTGGACCTCACAAAACCTTCTCTCAGCAGCATGACTTCAGCCTGGAAAGGAACACTCTCTTCTGGGTGGAGGCTGCCATCCGAGGACCCTGCTCATACCAGTGCAATGATCTGAGGACTGTGTCAGCCCCTCCGGCCTGGCTCTTGCTGGTCAGTCCTGAAAGTGGGCCGGCATTTGCGCCTGGCACAGCCAGAGATGAGGAGGATGGACCCCAGGAGCCGCTCGAGGAAGAGGAGAATGAGGAAGAAGGCTTCTCTGCCAGCGAGGAAGAGCTAGACTCCAGCAGCCCGCAGCCCAGTTCTCCCGGGCGCCCTGGCTCCAGCCATGGCCTGCGCTCCCTGGATGTGCTGCGCAGCGTGAGGTCCGAGCTGGCTGGGGCGCGGAGGCGGCTCTCTGAGAGCAGGTTGGCTGCCTGTCCCCGCGCGCTCCTGCACCGCTTTCGCGGTCACCGGGCGCTGAGCCTGTGCCCCTCACCGCCACCCGGGCCTGTACCCCAGCTCCCCAACGTCCCTGTACCCCAGCCCCCCAACGCCCCCGCGCTGCCCCCACGGCCCTCGACAGCTGGCTCCATGCCCCCACTGCGGAGCCACAAGCCCACTGTTGCGGTAAGGACTACCTGCTCCACCAGGGCCTCAGCTGGCCAGCCTCACCTCTGCAATCTCAGCTCCTTCCTCCCCGTGCTCCTTCCTTCTTAGCTTTACCTGTTCCCATCTGGTCCCGGTGTGCGGCCCTTCTGGCCATTTACCTAGAATATTCTCTGCTTAACGGAACCCATTCTGTTTCCCTGCTCTGTCTGCTTTGCCTCTATTGGGGCACATTTCATGATGATTGTAATTACTGGTACCTGTCTATTTCCTTGGGTGGAATGAGTTCTTTTAAGGCAGGGATCAGATGGCATTCAATTTTGTTTCCAGGGCATCTAGCAGCAGATTTGACCCATAGAGGGTTTTTAATGAATGTTGAATTGCCTTAATGAAGGAGACACAATTCTAAGGCCTCCCATGGATGAATTTTACTGTAGTCTGGGTAAGCTGGAGGCTCAATCAAGGGATAGTCACTGTAGTAACTTCCTGCCAAACACTGGGTTGGGAGAGATAAGATCCAAACCACAGGACATAGAGAGTTGGTCAACCGGGTGTGGACAAGGCCAAGCCCTGTATAGTAGGATAAGGTGTTGAGAGACAGAGAGGGCTTCTGAAGGATGGTAAGGCTTCAGGCCGAAATAGTGAACTGGGCAGAACCCAGAGGAGAGGCAAATTTATGATGAGGCCAAAGAAGCTTCATCCTTGGAACCTTTACTCTGTCCCTTCCAAGGCCTTATACCCAATTTCATGTTCTTCATTAAATGTTCTTTTTCTTTAAGAAGTTCTCTCCAAATTGTTTTAAGTTATCAGACTCCTCAAAGCCTAGATCCAGAGAGCAGATGAGTTAGGTCAAGAATTGGTAGCAGAAAGTACCATTTGAGCACAGCTTTCTGCCAGTCAAGCCAGGAGATACTGCAGAATGAAGCCAAGTGAAATTAAATCCCAAAGACAGAAATCTCCCACTCACTGGTGTGTGACCTTAGGCAAGTTATTGAACCACTCTGAGACACCCTTCTCTACCTAAAAAAATGGACCAGCAACCCTTACCACAGTTGTTTAGAGCAAATAGTAAAGGGAAAAAGGCTCTGTAAAGTGGGACAGACCATGCTCAAGGATCAGAGCTGATGTCAGGATGTCTCTTCCCTGGCCAGATTAGTCTAGAACAGCCATGTAGGGAGGATGGGGTAGATATTCTGTTGATGAGGAAACAAAGACAAGAGTAGACTCTTCTCCTAAAATGTGGATCTCCACCCTTGAGGTAAACAGTAGTCCCTAGAGTGGGGTCATGTTAGGGAAACCCAAGAAGAAGGGGACAGATGGGTGGGGAATTCCTATGCCCCACGTATACTTGGCCCCAGGAGCTAGAGTGGCAGCTGGTCTTTCCTTGGGAGATAGAACTAGGGTGCTGTGTTCAGGGCTAGCAGAGGAGTTCTACTATGTGGAGAAGGGGTGCTGGCAAACCAGCTGAAATGCCTTCAAGTCACCTTCCTTAGTCCAGCATTTGTGTGAGCCTCTCAAGCACAACTGAGGGGTTGGTGTGCCCAGTTCCTACCCTACTATACACCCTGCCAGACCCCAGCCCAGATGAACTCAAGAAGGAGAGTCTGGCTAGGAAGGTCTTTTCCTGCCCCATGAGGTAAAGAACCTCTGAGTAGGGTTCAACTCCCAAATGTGTGTTGTGTATCAGGGTCATTAACTTCTCTGAACCTTGACTTCAGTATCTGTAAAAAGAGATAGCAGGGTGGACATATTATATTCCTTTCCTTCTCTTCCCTTTATTCTTGAGATAGGGCCTCATTAGGTTGCCCAGGCTGGTTTCAAATTCCTGGGCTCAAATGATCCTCCTGCCTTAGTCTCCTGAGTAGCTGGGACTCCAGGAGTGCACCATAGCACCTGGATACCTATCATATTTCTTTTGCAAGGTATTCTAAGTAATAAGTATTAGCCTTCACTGACAGTTTCTGTATGCCAGGCCCCTTTGCTGATCCCTTTATGCCAGGCCCCTTTGCTCATGTTGTCTTATTTAAGCCTTGTTACACCCCTGTGAGGTACTTTTGAGATTGCCTCCATTTTACATTCGAATAAAGTGAGTAGACAGTGGGGAACTGGGGTCTTCAGGACTCTAACCCCACCCCCCACCCCCCATGCTAACTCCTACACTAGGTATAGAAAGTGTACACAAAGGCACTTTTAAAATGTCCAGCCCAGCCAGGTGTCACCTCCTTTGGTAACTGACATGCCAGCCTCTCTGTATTTCAGTCTCTCAGTCCGTACACCTGCCTGCCACCCCTGAGGGGAACACCCCAGCCTCTCAACTCCCACAGATCGCACCCTGATTCTACAGCTGACCTGCTGTCTGCACTGAGCCAGGAGGAGCAGGACCTCATAGGGCCCGTGATTGCCCTGGGATATCCCTTGGGAAGGGCCATTGAGGCTCTGCAGAAGACAGGGAGACAGAGCCTGAGCCAGGTAAGTGAGGGACCCAGGACTGAGGAGTTGTGAAGCTAGAGCCAATGAGTGGCCATGTAGTTTTGATTCTTGAATATGTTTTGAACCTCAACCTGGTATTAATTATTGGGGTTGTGAGAAAACCTCTAGTCCCTATGCTACCTCCTCCATAGGAGTTATCCTCACACCTACTCGGGGAATCTCAGTATTCTACTCCTGTCTAGCTCTTGCCCTAAATACAGGAACTGGAGCTTCGTGTAATCAAGAATCTTTTTAGAATAGTCCAGTAGAACTTTATCTAATGAGAGATGTTTTTATCTCTGTTGTTCAATATAGTAGCCACTAGCCTACTTTATTATATTCAATGTGGCTAGTGTGATTGAGAAACTAATTTAAAATTTTCTAAAATTGTAATTAAATTTAAATCCAAATAGCTACATATGCTTAGTGGCTTGGAGGACACAGCTCTAACCACTTTCCTCAATGAATAGTTTATCAATACCCACATCCATTTCTCCACATTCTTCCATCTGGCCAAGAGTATTTATTATTTATTTTTTAAATTGATTTAAAAAAATGATAGTGGAATGCATTACAATTCTTATTATACATATACAGCACAATTTTTCATATCTTTGGTTGTATATAAAGTATGTTGACTGGCCAAGAGTATTTATTGTGCACTTTTTGGGTATACAGATGCAGCTGGGAGCTATAGGAAAAACCGAGGTACATAAAAACCAGTGCTGTGGGTTGGGTTCCCCAGGAAGCAGAGTCAGATGAAGTTTGGCATGTAGGATGCTTATTAAGGAGGTCCTTGGGACCAGCTGCTATGGAAGGGAGGGGACAGAAGCAGAAGTGGCAGAGGAAGAAGAGCTGTAATGTAGGACCAGAAATAGCATCAGCTAACCCCACAGCTCTGGAACCTCTCTGGCCCCTCAGAGTTGCCTTAGTGAGGCTGATATGACCAGGCTTTCTACCCCTACTTCAGGCAGTCATTGTTCATGGGAAGGGTGTGACATGAGAGACATGGATCTCAACAGCTTAGGCAGTCCCTGAGGGTGTCTCCTATCCCTCTCAGCATCTGGGGTAATGAGTCCTTCAGTAAAGGGCCTCTGGAAGGTGCATCAGAGTTTACCACCACCAGATTCTATTTTCAAAGAGTACTCTTATTGCTAGAATTGTGGACACTCAGTGATGGCACTCAAAGGGTAGCACTTCAACCTTCTCTAGTTTGGGGAAGTAGGTCTTGACTCCCAATAGAAGCCAAGAATGTGAGAGCACCTGCAAAGGAGTGAGGATCTCCAAAGTACCTAAAAAGAGCTGCTGGTTATAAGATGCCTGGGAGCATAATGGGCATGTATAAGTGCTGCGGAGTATTTCTGTCATCTGCTGCTGTGCAACAAACTGCCTGAACCTTAGTGCCTTAATCAACAACCATGAATTTGCTTATGAGATTCTGTGGGTTGGCAGTTTGAAGTTGGACTCAGCTAGGTGATCTTCTGCTGGTCTCATCTTGATCTCTCTTGTGGCCATAGTGTTGTGACTTTGTTGGGGCTAAATAGCTTAAGATGGGCTTGTTGCCAGTCCAGAGGTTGGTGTCAATTGTCAACTGGACCACACACATCCGGCAAGCTATCTCACTTGGTTCCAAGAGTGAAAACTTCAGGGCTTCCTGAGGCCTGGGCTGGAATTGTACATAGTCATTTCTATCTTATTCTGTTGGCCAAAGCATGTCATAGACTAGCCTAGATATAAAGGTAGAAAAATAAACTCCCTCTTGATGGGAAGAACACCCAAAAATTTATGGTCATTCTCAATCTACCACAAGGAGGTTCTAGTGAGTTGGAAAAGCTTCATGAAGGGACCACACATGGAACAGGACTTCCAAGTCTAGATAAGACTTGGCTTTGAAATGAGAAGAGTAATAGGGATAGTGTAAACAAAGGAGTCAGAGGCAGAAAGGAAGTGTACAGGAGATCTGATCCAGTCCATCTTGCTGGAGAAGATGTATGAGTCGGGCTGGTGGGAGTTGGGACAGGTTGAGGGTACTTTGAAAACTGGGCTGAGACTGTGATAATAACCTAGTAGGCAAAAGGGAATCATAGAAAGATTATGAGTGAGGACAGGAGGTGGCATTGAATGCTATTGTCTGTACCCCTATTGTAGCATCTCCTTTGTATTTTCTAAATATTGGGGCTCTTCATGGCTAGAAAACTGGTCACAGGGCAGTTGGCACTTATTCCTTTTTCTCCTGTCTCTACCCCACCACTGCCAGAGGACTTGAACTCCTTCTCCTCCTCCTTCTCCTTCTCCTCCTCCTTCTCCTTCTTTTTTGGTATTGGGGATTGAACCCAGGGGTATTTAACCAGTGAGTCACATCCCCAGCCCTTTTTATATTTTATTTTGAGACAGGGTCTCGCTGAGCTGCTTAAGGCCTCACAAAGTTGCTAAGGCTGGCTTTGAACCTGTGATCCTCCTGCCTCAGTCTCCTGAGCTGCTAGGATTTCAGGCATGTGCCACTTCCTTCACCTCCTACTTCTCCTTCTTCTTTTTTAATTTGTTTGTTGTAGATGGACACAATACCTTTATTTTGTTTATTTATTTTTATGTGGTGCTGAGAATTGAACCCAGTGCCTCACACATGCTAGGCAAGCACTCTACCATCGAGCTACATCTCCAGCCCCTACACCTTCTTCTTAATCACTGATGACTGCAGAATAGTGAGTAGGTCCCTGAGGTTCAAGACTCAGGCCTGCTCCTGGGTGAGGGAGTGACAGGAGAGTGATTCTTAAATAGGAGCCAGAGCAGAATTGCTGCTGCCAGGTTGGGAAAGTGGGGAAATGCTCCTGGTGTTCTTCCCAACCCACTCCTGCTTTTTCTCTACCCTGGGTTCATAAGTCTATGCCCTATCTGGAGGAACACTTTCAACATGGTGACCCCCATGCTAGCTAAACTGGATGGAGAGGAGAGGTTACTAACAGATTTTGAATACTTTCTTTGCACTGGTCCCTTAATCTGAAAGTCTTCAGTTAGGTCTCAATTCTACAAAGTTATTATGCTATTACTGTCCTAGGCATTTTGCAGATGAACAAACTGAGACCAGGGGGTTCAATAGCCTGTCAACGGCAACAGAAGTGTTGAGGTCAGGTTGTCCTGATTCTGAATCTTTGTTGAACAGTGCTTTTCTTTCATTCTCTATGTGAAAACCTCCTAGGAGAGCAACCTTGTCTTATCTGAGATTTAAGAGCAGATCTAAAGTGGCCCCTACCCTTAGCTGACCTTGGCCAAGAAGCTAGATAGGAGGGCTATGAGGTTCAGGCCCACAGTGGGGCTCTGACATGCCTACTCAGTCTCTTTGCCCACTGTGACAAGGCTGAGGTCTCAGCCCATCATTGTGGAATTCTGAAGATTAATCAGAGCCAACACAGGGCACTGGCCTCCCAATGTGTTGGGTTCAGATCCTTCTCCCCTTGAAAGGAAGGAGAGCATCAGATGATGGAGATAGTACACTTAGAAGAGTCAGGAAGAGGAGATACAAGAGGAGATTCAAAAGATAAGCTCTGTGGTCTGGGGTTGTAGCTTAGTGGTAGAGTGCTTGCCTATCATGTGTGAGGCACTGGGTTCAATTCTCAGCACCTCATATAAATAAATTAATTAATTAAAGGTCCATTGACAACTTAAAAAAATTTTTTTTAAAGGATAAGCTCTGTGGGCTCGGGTTGTGGCTCAGTGGTAGATAGAGCTCTTGCCTAGCATGCGTGAGACGCTGCGTTTGAACCTCAGCACCACATAAAAATATAATAATAATCAAAAAATAAAGATATTGTACCCACCTATAACTAAAAAATAAATAAATAAAAGATAAGCTCTGTGCCTCTCTCCTTCCTTTTACAGAAATGATGTGCCCAAAGGACAGGCTTGAGCAGCATGTGTAAGAGTCCAGGGTCCAAGCCCAGAACTTGCTATAGGACTCCAAACACACCAAGCTCCCTTTTTTTGTGCTTCCCTGTTTATAGGACAGAGGAGGAATAAGTATGTGTTTGGAACCAATGACTTCTGGAAAACCCATCCTGGGGTCTGAAGGTGACATTTAACCTAGGGCCTCAGGCAAGCTTGGTACCCTCTACAGTCCCATAGACCCAAAAGCTGACCAAACAGCAGAATCTTTAAAGTGCAGACCCCCAGGCCCTGTCCTGAAGAGCCCCAATCTATCTGGACCAGACCCAAGAACCTATAATTTTAGAAGATCTGCAGATGGTCTAGATATGCAGCCTGGCATGGTGTGGAGGTGGTCAACTGTCCCTTCAGCCAGTGATTCTTAACTTTGGCTGCACATTAAAATCACCTGGAGAACTATAAATTCATCCCAGTGTCCAGGTTACGCCTCAGATCAAATAAACTGGAGCCTCTGGTGAGGCCCAGGCACCAGTATTTTCAAAATTCCCAGGGTGGTTGTAATGAGCACCAAGGCTGAGAATCATTGCTATGGGCAAGCCAAAAGGTAAAGGGAGCATCCACCATCTGCCCTTGCCTTTGCCCTCTCATCTTCTGAAGGTGAAGTTTTCTTCAGAACTCTTGTCCACTGCTAAGCTACCTCAAAGCTTCTCCTCTAGCAACCAATCTCCTTCTCAGACAAGAGGTCAAGTTATCCTGAAACCCTGGGCAAACCACCTGCCCTGCCTTGACCTGTTTCCCCAGTTGTGAAAGGCAGCCTTGGGTGTGTGATTTTCCAAATGTGCTCAGAGCGAGGTCTAGACATTCCAAGCAGAACTTCTGGCAGGAGTGCTGGATTCTGGGCTCCCATGGCCTTTGCCCTCTGTTCTTCCAGGCAGTTCTGATCTTAGCTTATTATTGAAGCCTTATATGCTAGGACAAACAGCTCAGGAGTGACGACAGTTTGAAAACCATTAGGTTAGATGATCTGCACTTTCTGCCCCGCTCTGCAGAAACCCAACCTGCTCCTTCTCGGCATATACTCAGAATTCTTGTGGCCTGGAGCCTTCGTTTGACACCTACTCCCTATAAATCCTGCTTTGATTTGCCTGGCACTGATGTTGTCCTATGTCTGGTTTATCTCCCCCACTAAGCTGTGAGTTCCTTGAAGGGTAGTTCTTAATTCAGTTTATAAACACAGCATATATTTATTGAGCTCCTTCTGCCGCCATGCTGGTGCTGGGGACCCAGTGAACAGAACTGCCCAACCCCTCCCTGTGGAGCAAAAAATGAGTGGGTAAGGAAGATTAAGTGAAGCAATTACAAAGTTGTATGTGCTGTGCCGGGGAGCACAGGGTGGTCTGGGTGCACTAGAGATGGCACCCAGTGAAGACAAGGTGGCAGAGAAGCTTCCCCAGGAGAGCACTGAGGCTTGCTTTAGCTGGGGGAGCCAGACAGGCAGAAGCCTGGAAAATGTTGGATGGAACTGAGCCCTAGTAAAGAGGCAGCACTTTATCCTAAGAGTAAAAGTAGCCCCTGGTGACTTAGGCAGGGAGTGACTGGAGCAGGTGTGCAGCCCTGTGGGATCCTCCTCTGGTTCTGGTGTAGGACTGTTAAGCCTCAAGGAGCTCTGGATGGCAGAGATGTGTCTGGGGTAGGGTGGCTGAGGAGACTCCTTCTCCAAGGAGGGTGGGCAGGCTGGGGTGAGTGGTGCACATGTGCCTAGGGGTGGCAGGCAAGATGCCCATCTGAGGCCTGTCGTGGTCCCCACTTAGGTTCTGTGAACATCTTAGCCCACTCTGAAAGTCCTTTTCCTGGATTCCAGCCCCCAACTTGGGACAGCCAGTGAGTGAAGACCCATTTTCCACCTGTCCCCAGGTCCTTTTTTCCTCTTCTATTAGCCCATGATATCTCTGGGGCCCCATGGTATGTGGTGGGCTGGCCAGTCTGCCTAGTTCTGAGCTCAGGCCTTAGTGACGCCTTGGGTGCCTCTACACCTCGTCTGCTGCCTCTGCCTCTCTTATCATCCTTCCCTCTTTGTCTTCTTCCCGCCCAGTTTCTCAGCTACCTCAGTGCCCATGAAAGGCTTCTGCAGCAGGGCTACGAGGAGGCCCTGGTGGACGAGGCCATGGAGATGTTCCAGTTCTCTGAGAGCCAGGTCAGCTGGGCCTCCTGCCTGGGCTCCAGGGGCTGGGAGGGATGGGGCACACCAGTTCCCAGAGTAGCCTGTGGGCTGGACAGGAGACAGCCTGCAGCCTCGGTCCAGGGGAGAAAGAGCTGGCCCAGGGAGATAAAGCAGAAGATAGAGGGAGAATCCTGAGAAGTGGGGAGGGCAACTGGAGGTAAAGAAAGCACGGGTTTTGTTTTATTTAGCTGAATCAACACAACAGACATTCGTGAATGCCCATTCTTTGTCAGACACCCAGACAGGGATCAAGGGCCACACAGAGATACTTGAACTCCCCAGAATGCAGGCAGCTGCAGGCCTCACAGAAAATTCTAAGTGCTTGATGAATACTACTTGTCCCCAACCCTACTCCCAGCCAGAGCACCTGTTCATAGAGGCAGCCAGAGGGACAGAGGTGCTGAGGAGGAAAGGGGTCAGAAGAGGAGGGCAGGCAAGGGTTGCATTATGTGAAACCTCAGCGGTGCTGGTGCACCTGATGCCAGTGTGCACCCTTCTTCCTACCCAGTACCTGAGCACAGGGGTCAAGGCCATGTGAGAGGGGAGAGGTGAGGCCGGGCAGAGCCAGTGGCCAGGTCAGAACTTCTTTCCCTGGTAGGAGCCACATCACACTTCCTACACACAGAGGTACAGGAAGACGGCAGATGCTGCCGAGAATTAGGTTCTTCTGGTTTGGGGGACTACAGCTTTCTGGGATGAGGTGCAGAAGGTACTGGGGAGATGCTTCCAGGGTGTAGGTGGGCCTTGCAGAGCCCCCTCCCATCTCCTCCTCCTCAGGCAGGGGAATTCCTACGCCTCTGGGAGCAGTTCAGCGACATGGGCTTCCAGCCACACCGGATCAAGGAGGTGCTGCTTGTCCATGGCAACCATCGCGATCAAGCCCTAGAGGAGCTGGTGGCCTGTGCCCAGTGACCACTGAGGCATTCTGCAAGGCCTGGGCAACCCCGTCCAGCCTGTTATGAAAGCCTAACAAGACTAAGGAAGCTGTGCATTCTCACTGTGTAAACAATGCCAGGGGCGGGAGTTGAAAGCATTGCCCCCTTGCCTCCTGGAAGGGGCAGAGGGGAGAGGGTGGGCAAGGAATCATGTTTTTCATATTTGTATTTGACTCTTCAAACTATGTGCATTAATTACTTTGACTTTGAGAAAATTAAAACAAATAAATCATGGCAGTTCTTTTTTTAATATTTATTTTTTTAGTTTTAGGTGGACACAATATCTCTATTTTACTTTTATGTGGTGCTGAGGATTGAACCCAGTGTCTCATGCATGCTAGGCAAGCGCTCTACCACTGAGCCACAACCTCCAACCCTTGTGGCAGTTCTTTTGAGTCCTGTAGGCTCCTGGTTTTGGTTTAGAAAGAACATCTTAACTGTGGGTAAGAAGCCTTGAGTTCTGATGATGTCTGGAATCAAGGAGTTTTTGAGCCTTAGATTCTCAAGAAAAAGTAGAAAGATTTGACCAGGTCAAAATTTAAAAATTTTCAGACCTAGCTGCTCTCCATAAGGTATTCTGATTCAAAAGGCATAGCTTAGCAGCCATCAGGAATCTGTTTGCTTGCGGGTTTCTTTTTTTCTTGGAGATAGTTCTTTCTGTTATCTAGGCTGATCTTGAACTCCTAGACTCAAGTGATCCTCCCGCCCCAGCCTCCTGAGTAGCTGGGGCTATCGGTGTGTGCTGTCATGCCCAGCTTGTTTTGTTTTATGTAAGAAGCCCCCTGGGTATTCTTTACAATGTACTGGGCCCACAGCTAGTGTTTGTGAACCTCTGGAACAGCCACTCTATGTCCCCTGCTCTGACAATCTGGGGTCCTATGTCAGTCTTTCCTCCTTGAGGATGGGGAAGTTGGTACCAGAGTAGCCTCTAGTCACCCCAGGTCTATCCTTTAGAGGTCCTCAAGAATTGAGATGGCCAGTTGCTATAGTGGCCCATGACTCAGGCAAGCAGAGGTCAGAGGCCAAGTTGCTGGTGCCCTGCTATCCGAGCTGGCCCATGCAAAAACCTGTGGCAATTACCACAAAATCCGAACCTCCCAGCTTCACTCCACCCTGGGCATGGAGCTGAGGTCTGTTAAAAAAAAAGAAAAAGGAAACTTCCACATTTCTCAGTTCATAGAGACACTGTGTTTGAATATGTACAGGGACTTCTGCAGGTATACACTGCAGAACTAGAACTCAGGTCTCCTAAGGCTGTCCAGCCCCTTGATGCTTCCTACTAAGCCTCAGTGTCTGCCAACTTGAAATCACATTAAAAATATTCTTTGGTCTTCAAACTTGTTTTGAATAATTTGCAGGCAATACAAAACTATTAAAAAATCTGAAAGATGGCACCAAGTTGGTCATGTGTCTATTGCCCAAAAGAGAACTACACTTGGAAAAGACAGTAAAGTTCAATTTCTAAGATACAATGTTAGCTCCAAAGCTATTTGTGTTCTGATTAACCTGGACTCAGTCCATCACTTTATTAAGTCCCCTGGATTAGAGGTGACTAGTTGGCAGGCCCTCACACATGCCACTATTCCCATTCTTCTTCTACCTGCTCCAAACCTTTCCATCCCTAGAAAACTATTGCTTGATTAAAAATGAAATGGCAATGGGCAAATTTGTTAGTTCAAAATAATTTTTTAGATGATAGAATAATGAAGTCACATCTAAGCTGGAACTACATCCTAGATCATTATCTAGTTATGTGACTCTTTGAAATTGTTAAGCACCTGCTCAGCCCTGTGTTAGTCTCTCTGAGATGAGATGATACAACCAGCATTCCAGAAGCTACTTACAGCTAAGTTGATGAGCCAAAACTACAACCAAAGACCCATTCATTCACTGATTCTTCCACCCCACAAACCTTTATTATATACCACACCAACTCAGCCTGCAGTGGGGGAAGGTGGGACAAAGCATGAGAAATGGCCTCTGTCTTGGAGCGGGGCTTCCTGGGGCTGGCCTGGCTTGTGGGTCAGTCAGCAGCTCCTGTGGGCAGGTCAATGCCTGTGCTGGTGATAATGGCAGGCAGGCTCTGGCTCAATAAGGGCCTCTGAAGGTTATACTTGGCCAGTTCCCTGGTGGAACTGGATCCTGGCCAGACACCCTGGCTGGCTCTATCCCCAGCCCAGCAGTGGGGTACCCACCCCAGCCCAGCCTCCTGGCTCCTAATGGTGGCCCTCCCTCCTGCCCATCCTCCTCCTGAGAGGAGAATAACCTGTCCTTATAAGGCCACCCACTCAAGAGACGTGCATTCTGTGTCCTCTGGGCAGCTGCCCATGTGATGTCATCTGCTGTTTTATTGCTCAAGACTTTTAACCTATGGTTTTATTTTTTTTTGTCATTAAGAAAATGTTTCCAGGTTGAGCAAAGCCTTAACTGGGTGTCAGATGAGGGCAGAAAGATGGAAGGAAGCCAGAGACCCAGGACAGGCCAGCCTGGGGGCATGGCTTAACCACAGATTCCAAATACCCCCAGCAGCCCTAGTATTCCAAGGACTCCAGCAAGCCTCATGCTGACCATTGCCCCTTATTAAGTGACACTCAGTATAGTTGGGAGAATGTCCCCTCCCTCAGATATAGTCATCTTAGTGGTCGTCCAAGTGTCCTGTCATCCTCAGACCAGGGATAGGCACATGTCACATCCACACAGAGCCAGTGGGCCTGGGCCTATAACCTCAGAACCCTGGGGGCACTTGATCTGGCTGTGATCAGGAGTGGACACAGCTCCTGGAGTCCTGGAGTCCTGGAGTCTGCAGCTGCTGGGTTCCACCCTTCCCCAGCAGGCGCTCTGGCCTTCCCAGGAGCTAAGCACCCAGAGGTCTTCCAGTGGGATCCTGTTCTCCTTAACTTGGCCAAAGGTGGTTCCACCTGCTGACAACCAAAACACCAACAGGATACAGTGGGGACAGGGACATAGGCAGCAACCAACTGGGGTAGAATTTGTCCTGTCTCCCTGTGAACCTGGGGAAAGTCTAAACTTAGGGAGGAAAAGTTGGGCCCAGACTGTCTGCAAGGTTGTGGCTTCCGGTGGGTAACTTCCATCCTGGGCCTGTAACTGCTGAGGGAACCCTCCTTCCTACTGTGAGGCCCTGGGGACAGACATTGAACCTGCAGCCTCTCTGCCCCTGAGCCTGACACAGCTTATATTTAGGACACTCAGGTGTGTTTGCTGAATGGGAGAGAAGGAGGAAAAGAGGGAGAGAGGGAAACCCAGGAATGCTGTCGCTCTTTTGGGGAGCACGTGGCACATTTTGCATGGCAGCAGAGTGGAGCAGAGAGAAGCCTGGGTCATGTCCCTGAGCAGGTCAGAAGCAGTGGCCACACTGTGGTGTAGCAGGTCCAGCTGAGGAGAGAGGTGGGTGCTGCTAGTCAGGAAAGCCACCACCCCTGCCCTGTAATGAGTTTTGCTCTGTCACCCCAATCCCTGCCATATGGGGGCAGGTGGCCAAAGAGATAGCCTGGAGGTGTCCAGAGCTGTTTGGGAGGTTCAAGATAGGAAGCGAAGCTAAGAAAAACATTTTTCTCTCCTCAGGGGTGCGGGACCCCCAGGGACCTTCCAAAGGAATGACATTTCATCTGTATCTTTGGTCAGACCCAGCAGTGGGGAGGGCTCTCTGTACATCTCAGGTCAGAGGACAGGGCCCTGCCCCTGCACCTCACACACCCCTCCCTCCCACCTCCACCAGAGGGAGCATTGCTCCATGTCCCTAAGACAGTGCCAGATAAGGGTTACATTCTGGAGACAGTAAGTATCCTAACAGGAGGAATGGCAGGCCCCAACCCCTCCTTAGGGCTCCCTCCATTGCTACCTAATCACCTTCTCCAGACCAACTGCCCTTGCCTGAGGGTCAAGATTCTTCTGGTTTATTGACATTGTGGGCCCAGCACTGTTTGTTCTAAGCTCTTTTGGTGTGCTATATTATCCTCCCAACAGCCCTTTGAGTTTAGGCACACGTGTGTTCACTGACAGACGCCCATCTGAGATCCCAAGAGGTTAAATTGCCCAAGGTCACACATTCTAGAAAGTGCTAGAACTGAATTAGAATCCAGAAAATCTGAGCTAGCAGCTGAAACATCCCTGCTACCTCACTGGCTCCCGTCACAATGTGGCCCTCACCTGGTCCCATAGCAAATATGGACATCAGACAGATGTCTTATCTTCAACGACAGATACAAAGCAACTCGGAGAGGGGATGTAACCAGCCCAAAATCACCCAGCAAATGGGTGACAAGGCTAAACCTGAAGCAAGGGTCTCCAGAGCTCTCACTGGGGAGCCTGAGGACCTCGTGGTTAAAGTTGGTGAAGGTCAGGTCTGGCCGTCTGGCCAGGGCAATATAGAGCCAGGCTCTGCCTCAGGGCTGGTGCTGCAGTTCTGCCTGGTCCCTCACCTGGAAAGGGATGGCAGAAGCTGTGTACTCTGGAGCTCACGCCTCTAGTTCTGTTTCCATTCCCAGCCAATCTTCAAAGAGCTTCTAAAGGTCAATATTTTCCCCTCAAATTCAAGTGTTTTGGGAGGTAAGGCCCCAGCTGCCGGTCACAGTCACGGAGGCACTGCCCTTGCCGAGAAGACATTCCTCTGGTTCCCATCACCGAGTAATCAGGCCAAGGCATGAGATGGACATATTCCAGTATCCTTTATTGTGCCCAAGCCTAGCCACTCAGTGACACATGCCCATAGAGATGGCCAGAAGGGACAGGGCACACATCCAGCAAGCTCCAGCCAGGAAAGAGATGACAACTCAAATCAGGTCCTCAGGGAAAGTTGAGGAATGAGGCCATTTACAAAGAGTGAAGAGCCACTCCAGGAACTGCAAGAGACAGCCGGGCTCTCACCACTCCTAGACCTGAAGGAGTGGCCACCCCAAGCCAGAGACTGAGAGGACTGCACAGAAAGGGCCACATGTCAGGTCCTGTGATCAGGTCAGTGGAAGAAAAAGCACAAGACAGCCACACAGAGAGGGAGCTGGGAAATGAGTCCCCTGACCTCACACTCCCACCTCCCTACTCCAGCTGGTACTCCCATTGGGCAGCTTCCAGGGGCACTGAGCACCTCTGTCTACTGCACTCACTGCCTCAAAAATGTGCCATGGCTCCCCATTCCTGTAGAAGAAAGCTCAGGTTCTCCTGCCAGGCATTCAAGGGTCCCACACTTAGGCCCCAAGCCACCTCTCTGGCCTTGAGACAGCAGGTGCT